CACACATAACATGTATACAGTTCACAACGTAACTTCTAGGCTCCTATGTATTTTTGATCCAGCCTGAGATATTCACAGCATCTTGGAAATTTGTCATTAATATTCAACAAAGCTCCAAGAAACAATCATAACAGTAGAAAAAGAGTTTTTTTTTCATTAACTCTTTTATTAGAATAATTCATAACACCTAGTTTTGATTGTTTTATTGTTTTTTATTAATGCTATAGAATGAAATTAAATCGTATACTTTTTTCCAAATTCTACAAAAAGGAATAAATAAAAATTATTTATTTTACTTCTTATGCTTATGAAATTATAAATAAGAGTAATTTTGCAAAGAAAAAGTAACACCATTACTAGAAGTTAATTATAAACGCTATAAAATTCCGATAGTAGGCTTAAAAGGTAAAATAAATAAAAAGTATAAGACTGTCTACTATTCAAGAAGGTTTTGAATTTGCTAATGAAATATTATACATATTCTAATATTTTTTTGTCAATACGTGATTAAAGTGAATAAGTTTTAAAAACAAATGTTCCTTTAAATTGTTTAAGGCAACTATTATTTTTTTGACATTCTTAAATTTATTTTAAATACTAATGTTTTCAAGCTGTTTGGTAGTCAAACATACAGAGCCGATTGTGAAATAATAGAATTTTAACAGTTTTATGGGTTGAAAGGAAAGGGAGGGTAAAACGAATTGTTGCACGTGAAATTCTGAAAATTACTCTATGAGCCATAATATATGTATTGTTACGTCTCCGTTCGTTAGTTAGTTTTCCGTAAATTCGTTCCAACGAAACTTTAGCGGCACAAGTTCTTTCTTAAATAAAACTGATTTATTCTTTCCGAATACAACTTTACCGATACACTTAATTTCAACAGTCGCTCTATAACAACGCTATAACTCAAAGAACATCTCACGTGCTCGTGCTCGACAATACTCAGTTCAATTACACACTCTCTGACTGCAGTTCAGTTACTCATTACCTTGTTCCGTCACGTTGTGAGCGTCTTATATATACCCGATAATTCATGAAGGTTCGAGAAGGACGTGGCGTGGTAATAGTCACGTGACCTCGCTGACGCAACAGTATATATATATTTAGAAGAAGTGAAATTTGACTTGTTAAATTATATACATGACGAGATAATCAAGCACTCTCACGAATACTATTCTACATGGGCACGTGGAATGTAAGCGCAAACGAGGAAGATAAAATGTATGGGAATGAGAGAGAAAATCCTGAAAGTTATAATGGCTGGAATGAAAGGTGTCCCAACGATAGGAACTGTCAAGGGTCTGTCTTGGCGTAACTTGAAATTATATATGTGTATATATATATATATATATATACTAGCTAGAGTACCGGTCTACTGGACGGAAGTTATGTAAATTCATGATTAATGAAAGGTTATATTAGGACATGAAAAGTTGCTTCCCTTATATGTGATTGTAAAAAAACGCTAAAACACCCATAAAAACTGCAAAACACAAAATGTGAAACCGCAAGCTTGCATGTATCTCCACATAGATCCAACAAACCTTCATGCCAAATTTGGTGAAGATCCATTAACAGGAGGCAAAGTAGTGGTAAAAAAACGTGAAAACGCTCATAAAAACCGCAACACTGAAAAATTTATATGTATCTCTCCACACAACCAATGAACCTCCATATGAAATTTGGTGAAGATCCACCCACAGGATGCGAAATAGTGGTACAAAAACGCCCATAAAAACCGCAAAATGAAAATTTGGGTGAAGGTCCAGCCACACTCTGCGAAGTAGTTACATGAACATACAACAGACAGTACTATTATATTTATATAGATAACCATAACCAACGTGCAAATGTTTTGAGTAGGGCTGGTAGAACAAACCACTCACTTTAATATAAATTCTAAAATTTTTAAACTTCCCGAAATTCTGACAAAAGGTTTGACACAATGTTGAATACGTATTCTCATAATTAAACAAGAGCGTAATCCTATCAAAAAAAGTTAAGGTATGTCCTTTGTTTTTCATAAACGTTTTTTTCTCTGTATTTACATTCCTTTTAATGATAATTAATAGAACCAGATGTAGTTTTTCCGCTTAAATATTATCGTGGAAATACATAGTTCACTGTATAAACAATGTTATCGAAGAATGAAAGCACAATTTCTATAATATAACCAGGTTACTTTATTCAGTTTGTTCTCTGCTAATAGACACTAGATGGCGATAGCAACGTAGTTACAAAAGTCTAAAAAAAAAAAGATTCATACAATTGTAATATTAACTATCAATAACAGGGGCATTTAATGTTTTTTTGTTGTTCTTGACAGTTAATATTTCTCAGACAGAATATTTTCTTAAACATTTAGTGTTGTGAATCTGTATAAACCTTAAAAATGTAATGCACCTTTACTCTTGTGAATAGTGTGAAGCCTTGTTTCAATTACATACTCCGTTGAAATGGTTCGTTCATCGTTCAGAACAAGAAAGTTTTGTCGTCATAGTTTAGGTAGACAACTGGAGTTATGCTTCTAGTCTACATAAGCATTACAAATCGTAACTTCTCGAGCCCTTTGTTGTTATATTTTAACTGATTTGACAAGAAAATACGACACTGTATCAGTAAAACTAATGCGAAAAAAATATTCTTCATCTTCAACATCACTAGAAAGCTTTTACTTCTAAATTTTATTTCCTTAAAGGAAAAAAAACGTGTAACTACTGATCTTTGTGAATTTTCTGATCTACAGAAATAAGTTCTCAACTAGAGTAAAATTGGAAATATTCGGTAAACTTCCACCAGACGTCTTAACACGTTCTCAAAATAATTATTTCACTTTCTTTCAGTGTTTTGCGCAGAAGTGTCAAAAAGTTTTGTTCTTTCTTTACTTTAAACCTTAATAGATTCAACCTTGTTGTTAAAGAGTCTTAGTTATAGAAACCGTAGTTGTCACTTTTGAGACTTGTTTTTACCTTTTTAAGCTCAATGTTTTTTATTAATAATCAACGCTCATCAACTACGTTGCTTGTCCTGCTAATGTTTATGGCTGCTTGTTTAGTAGTTTTGTTATTAAAGTGTGCATGTCCGAAGTCCATAGAATAAAATCAATCGAGGTTTGACGAAGTTTTCAATATATATATATATATTTATATAATCTATTTTAACTTTTAAGTTAGTGACTCACAGCCAGCAAATTCATAATTACGTTTACTACTCAAGTACTGAATTAGTTAAGCCTCAGTTAATTTTTTATAGGTCAAACTACTTGTACTTTTAATGGTTTCATTTTATACTGCTCTGTTATGTGATATCAGTACCAAGGATATATATTTTTTCCTCTTAACATATAAGAAAATCCACTTGTAATTCCTGAAAACGTTTTCTAATATTTGAAACTTTACGTGGTGATATATTTGTCCAAATTTTAACCGTTGGTATTTTAAATGTGTGTGTGTGCTTCATTAATATTGTTCATGTAACCACACTCCATCCAGTTATACGATAATAGAGAGGTTAAGTCCATCTCGGCTCCAGATTTTCTTAACTAGGGGGAGGAGTGGACACATAATAGGGTCTAATCTAAAACTTATCTCACGTAGTAGAACTAGTGAAAATGACATTGATATAATTCATGTAATGATGTCTCATAATAGAACTTATGAAAGTGACATTGATATAATTCATGTAATGATGTCTCATAATAGAACTTATGAAAGTGACATGGTAATAATTCACTGATAGATACAGATATAGTAGTGTTTATAGCATAACTAGTGAAAGTGACATTGTTATAACTCAGGTAGTGATATCTCATAATAAAACTTATGAAAGTGACATTGTTATAACTCACTCTTAGTTGTTTCTTAGAGTAGAGCTAATGAAACGGACTAATATGTTTAAAACTTTTCACGTATTTCCATGAGAACACAATACTTTTCCGTGTTCTCATGGAAATACGTGAAAGATTTTGTGCATTATTAATGAAAAAATTAGAAAATTTAGCATTAAAGGTTTAAGTGAACAATTCTCAGCTTCAAGTTAACGCCATTTCATCCAAATACCTGATACCAGTAAATTAGTAATGAAATGATAAATATTTGGAGCTAACCCAGGTATATACAGAATATGATTGACAAGAAAATTTCCAATTTTTGATTTGTGTAAACTTACTTAATTTGTCCTTCGTTTTTTATTACAAAGGTTCAATAAAAAGTTAGATCCTTCACAACCTCAAACTACTTCTAGTAAGCAAATTACTGGAACTTTAACTATTATTTAGCATGGCCTGTAATAGAGTTGTAAAGTTTGTTTCTTTTGTTGAACGTTTAGAATTAACCTTATATTTCATGTGCTTCAACGAAACCTCAGTTTGCAAGTTGTATAATAATTAACAACGAAAAAGGGTAAACTAAAAAAAAAGTCTATAAAATAAGGTTTGTTTGTAATTAAGCACAAAGCTACACAATGGGTTATCTGTGCTCTGCCCACCACGGGTATCGAAACCCGGTTTCTAGCGTTGTAAGTCCGCAGACATACCGCTATGCCACTAGGGGGCCTATAGAATAAGGAACAATTAACACGTACATTGTATTTCGTCGGTTTACCTTTGTAACAGCTCAACTTACACAATGTTCTACCTGTTATTCTGGACTTATTTAGAAACTGACCTTTGCTAAGTAGTTTATACGCTTTTAATAACAATTTTGTCAAATGAAAAGGGAATATTTGTTCCCAAATTTTAAACTAGTTCTGTATAAAATTTACCAAAAAAAATTTCCTTTTAAGTTGACAAGCAGAACACAGCTGATGTTGAAATCATTCACTGGACTGATATCTAAGTGTTTACAAAAAAAGTCATTTACTTAGAGTTTCATATTCAAATTATGCAAGGCTGTGGAATTCATATTACCCGATGCAGGGATAACAATATTTAACGTTATACTTTGCCCATTTGAGAAGTAATTTTTCTCTTTGTTTATTTTACATTTTTCTGTTGTTTTAAAAAAAAAAAAACACTCCAGGAGATACATAAATTCCTGACAATTCTGAGCTAGCACAGACATATGAAAAGGAACAGACTCATTTGTAAATCTCAAATCGAAATTATATACACAAATTTACATATGAATTGAATTCACGAATGCTCTGTCACACTCACACACACATACAGTAACAGCATATTCCAATTAATTAACAATATTATTACACTGATTTTGTTTAGAGTAGAAGCCCAGAAAAGTTTGCCTGCCAGCTCTAGAAAGAATATATAATATATTAAAAATTACAAAAACAATTAAACTGTTTATATAGCTCCTGGCAACAGTAATGTAAATGATGATGTCTTTATCACTCGGCGTGTGTGTGTGGTAATGTACATGCTGCCCTATAAAATACAAATTGTTGACTGTTAAAAGCCATAAAATAATACATGAATGAATATATATATGTGTGTGTTAAACCGTAATTGTGTGTATGTATTTTGTTTCCACGGAGAGGACAAATATATTTTCTATAAGGACAGGTAAATTTCTCAGCTTGCTACCACTCTTCTTGATATTCGAAATCGTTGAGATGTCAACTCCATACTCTTTAGATAAATGTTTGTAAATTTTCTTTCCAATCTGGTCCAGTATTTCCACTTTCTGGTCGATGATAACTTGATAAGGCTACTGTGAGCTCTCTTCGCTGTTTTCTTCTAGTTCCCAGCGTCCATTTCTCGACAACGTTATCAATATGCGTATGAAAATAGTAGTTCGGATTTGCGAGGTTTGGGGTTAAAGGGATCCGGATTAATGAAGGTCTACTGTATAAGCCGAATACTTTATTTATTCTTTAAGGATCTTTAAATTTAACACATATCTTTAGAACATTTTGTAAGTATACATTAAAAAGCAAACTTTTTCATGCAATAAAGAATATAAAGTTACTAAACTGATTATTTGGGTTATTAATAGAGTATAGAAAGGAGAACTAAAAAAATATTTCAAACTGAGAATAATCATTAAAATTTAAAATAAAAATCGTGTGTTTCTTTCTTTCCTTAGATTATAATCTGTTAGAATCACAATCAGACTGACAGAATGTATTTGTTAACAACTTTGTTAAGGATTCTACGGTATGTTCACCATAAAAAAATCTGCTAAACCCTCCTGCTCCTGCACCAATTCCTAAATTATAAACTATTGGCAATCCTGCAGCACCCATGCTTTGGAAAAATGCAAATAAACTTCCAGTAGTTATTGATCCTCCATAAAAAACACTTTGACACCATGCTGCTAATGATCCTGTTGCCACACCAACGGCACTGAAACCCAGAGCAGAGAGAATATACGGAATGGAGACTACAGTAGCAGCTGCTGTTCCTCCACCGATGAGAAGTTCTGGAATAAGTTTATTTAAGTATTAATTATTTAAAAATCCTTTATGGATAACACTGAAGTGTAATTTTAAATAATTCACTATGAATGAACATACTTATTGTTCATTGTTGTTTTTATGTGAAGATCTTAATAATTAAAAGTCATTTGGAGTTTCATTTTTCTTGACATGTTTCAGGTTTAAAGGTGACTAAAATGTGATAACACTGGAATATATTACCTTTTATTATGGTGCAAGTGAGAAGTGGTAGTGTTGCATTGTGAATTATTCACAAAATTCTATCCTCAGTATGATGAGAGAAAAGTTTATTGCTATGGATGTTAAACTAGTAGATTAATATGTCAAGCTGTTCTTAACATTTAGTTGAGGTGAAAGACAACAGTAAATTGTTTCACTCTACAATTTGTATTTTTTCTTAATCAACGAAGAATTTCAGATTTACAATCAATGTTGAACCAACCACATCATGGTAGTTCCAATCCTGATTGGTATACTGGAATTTTGAAATGTGCCCCTTACAACCACCCTTGAGTCTGGCATGAATTACAGTAGATTGTGGAAAGTGCTCGATATCTGTGAGCTGAGCAGTATCAGAATTTTTCTAAGATGTCCCCAGAATATAACTTCTTGACTGACTTTGGAGAGCCCCTTTAATCCCTTCCGAATGAAAAAGGTGGAAAATTGCCCTAATGATTTTTCAGTCAAAAAATGAAGAATGGGAAAACGAGGTACACGAACCGACTTGGGTTGATGACTGTGGAACAGAATCCTCCATACGTGGTCGCTTACCTATTAATTTTTTTTATAAATTTTAATTTGTTCTGGATTTGTGGGATTCATAAGAAAATGAAAGTTATTCAGTGCCCACTGATCCCACCCACCAGGAAGTCTTAGGAAGGAACGCATTACAATACCAAACGATGACATTGTAGCTACACCAAGATTTCATGGGCACTATACCCAAACACCAGCACCAGACACAATGTCCACAACACATTGTTGAAAACGCCAAACAATTGTACTTAGTTGACCCTAGCCCAACAGGACCAGCCGATTGATCCTGGGAGAGCCACTCCAAGGCCACCCGTGACCCGTCTACAGGAATTCAAGGCCATGGAGGTATGTTAAAGTGCCACTGACATAAACTGACCTATCAATGACACCCCTCAACCACCAAGTTCCTCTTCTCTCCTTAACATGACAATGCACGGCAAACACGTGGGTGGATGTTTGGATCCCAGAGGAGGTAAACTAAAGTGTCAGAACCTTCATTGAGAGGTCCCCTTACCACGTACAGGAATCCACCTCGAGGGGCCTCTGTTTTCTGTCCAGTTTTTCTGAATACCTGGCCATGTTGGTAATCGCAGGAACAAGCTTGTTAATACCACAGATAAGTCTTTCTGCTCTGGTGCTGTCACAGCCGTGCCTGTCCCGAAAACGGACTATGGTCCTGTGTTCTGGGCTCGGCTTCGCGCCAGTTGGCAGTCGACTTGAGGAGAGCAACTTCATAACAAGCTTTTCCAGATCAAACCTATTGTTGTTTTTAACCCATTGTGGGATTGATCCGCCAATGTGTCACAACTGCCCATGTCTTGATTTAGTGCCGTCGTTATGATTGTGAACGGCGGCACCATTTTCGACATGTTTTTTTCTCGAGGTTTACCCGTGACATTTGACACTGTCATTGGCGAAGGTGACACTATCTAGCTTGACTGTGTTTTAGATTTTTCCAAGCCATAGGCCTTTTTAATATTATTTAATTTTATTTTTTTTTACTTGATTTTCGGGCTTAGTTTAGTTTTTAACTTGATTTATATTTACATTTGATAGTCTTTTACTTTTGCTTTGCGCCAAAAAACGCCAAACAACCAACCACGAAACGTTTAGCAAAGGGCCGTGTCCCAGTCAAGGGGGCAGAGTGGCTGACCTAAACAGTCATCATAAAGATAGGTCCCAAGCCGCCTTTTATCCAGGTCATATCTTAATTCAAAAAATTGCTACTGCAGTAACGATATAAGGGTTATTCTATAAAATATTTTTATTATTCAATTATTTAACCAATAGATGAGAAAGCTTAATATGAATCTGGTTTTCTTTTGGACTACTAAGTTAGCATGCCAAGTTTGGTCTGGATCAGTCAACTAGTTTACGAGGAGATGCGTCCAGTGACAGACAGAATGTTTTCCTTGATAATGGCTAGTTACCGCACCGATATGGCTTAATTAACACGTATAACACGTATCTGAAGAACACCGTATCCCAACTTTTATACTCTTCTCTGCCAAACTTACCCTGGCACTGGCAGAGCTAGATAACACCGCACCAGAAAAGATCAACTAAGAAAATTCAGTTCTTCAAGTTTTGCTACCGATCTAAACCACAATCTTCTTATTTAATTAGCGAGACATATTACCTAACTTTCTCTCGAGATCTTAATTTCTGCTTACCTCAGAGTGAAAAACTCATTTCTGTTCACGTTCTGTAAGCTACAAAACTCTCTCTTCCATCAGTATTTGTTTTTATAAGTAAAAATGTTGCTGGGCAAACAGAAAACTGACCGGATGGGATTCTAAAACAGGCCTCATTATCTTCAAGCTCAAACATACTCTGTATGATTAACTCAGTCCTTAACGTACACATATCAAGAAGTTATTGATCTGTGGCTTTTCAATTTTTCTTTAACTAAAAAATGTTTCTGAACCAACACAAACTACCTCTACAAATACAGGGGACGTGAACTGGGTGTGGATATAAAGTGGGTGGAAGGTTATTCAGCACAATACTAGTTACTTACCCCATATAAAACATTTACTCATTTATATTGTGTTATTGAATCTGCAGAAACGTTTTACCAAGTGCTAATAACCACTACATGTTAAAATGTTCTTATTATCAGCAAGTAATTAACTGACCTGCTAGTAGACGAGCAGCTCCACAGCAATTCATGGTTAGCGATATACGTTAATTCGTAAAAAGCTTATTAATAACGTATTAGTTAGGACTAACGACACATACAAATAATAAACAAGCCCTTCCGTTGAAGTTTATATTTCTTGGAATACCCATAAAGCACCACGCCAATACATGCGCTGTACGATCTGTACGAAAGCAACCTGGATTCAAGGACACAGAATATGATATCGGGCTCGATTTTTGTTAGTGGCTGTTAAATATTTTTGATGATAAAAACAATTGGAGTGACTTTGTTTTTGTGTGTGTGTGTGTGTATTGGTTTTTTTGGGGGGGGGGGTATTAGCATTATAGATGTTAGAAGATATTTCTTTTAAGTCGTGCAACAATATACGATCATGTGACCTCTTTGTTCCATACTGTTCGCATGCTCACGCGCGGTGCATTTTGGAAATACGAAAAACGTAATCAGGAAAACCAAAACCAAAACCTTAACACGCCCAGTAAATAGAAGTAGACATTATACAAAAAGCTTGCCCTTTGTTAGTACAACATGTTGTTAATCACGTGTGCAAGTAGAATTATCATTCACTGTTCCTTTTAATAATCTTCGCGCTTATTGGATAATTATATCATAATCTAATCTCTCTAAGAGACAGTCTGGGTCGACACGATTGTTACGTATGGTAATAACACACGACATATTAGTATATCGAAAATTTACCGATACAATTTTATCCCGTATTATTAAAATTTTTAACGAAAATAAGATTATCAAAGAGGAAATAATAAACATGAAAGTGTGATAAAAGAGGTTGCTAAATAATATTTTATATGTATATTCTTTGTTCTATCCGGAGTTCCAGAAATTATTATTTGTGTTAAATCACGTGGTAATAAATCTGGGTGTTTACCAATAATGTACTGATTTATAAGTGTACGTAGGTTACTATACACGCAACCCATTTTTATTACTGTGAATTGGTTGAAGTTATTTTGTTTTCATTGTTCGAATTCCCGTCATCGAACATGCTCGCCCTGAGGACGTTATAGTTTCTTCACGTTTTTCATTTTGGAATTTTTTTTTAATTACACCTTTGTATAATATTTACATTATTTAATTCCACGTAATTCAAACAACGTCAGTTACGTAAGTTTGTAATTAAGTACAAAGCTACATAATGGGCTATCTGTGCTCTGTCCACCACGGGTATCGAAACCCGGATTCTAGCGTTATAAGTCCGCAGACATACCGCTGTGCTACTGAGGGGCCAGTTATGTAAGAGTTGATGGAACACACATATCTGAGACTTAGTGGATTTTCATGTTCATTTTTATCGTGCATTTTACAGGTTTTATTCTTCAACTTCCAGTGCACACCCTATTTGCTCTGATCGTGAAACATTAACGGCCTGGCACCAAGTGGCACAGCGGTATTTCTGCGGACTTACATCGCTAGAAACCGGGTTTCGATACCTGTGATGGGCAGAGCACAGATAGTTCATTGTGTAGCTTTGTGCTTAACTTCAAACATTAACGGTCTGGTAGTTGGGGCGCTCGACTTGCAACCTGAGGGCCGCGGGTTCGAATCCCTGTCACCGAACATACTTACCCCGACCTATAAAACAATCTTTAGAACTGATTATTTCTAAACTTGAATGTAAATTACACAGTACTAAATTTAAACGAGATTCAAAATAAAAAGAAAAGTTCGGTGCAAGAAAAAAATAAGAGATTTAAACATAAGTTTGTTTGTTTGTAGTAAAGCACAAAGCAACAGAATGGGCTATCTGTGCTGTGCCTAAGTCCCGGCATATCCTGATGGTTAGGGCGCTCGACTCGCACTCTGAGGGCCGCGAGTTCGAATCCCTATCACCGAACATGATCGCCCTTTCAGCCGTGGGGATGTTATAATGTGATTGTTGGTAAACGAATAACCCGAGATTTGGCGGTGAGTGGTGTTAACTAGCTGCCTTCCCTCTAGTCTATCAATGCTAAATTGAGGACGGCTAGCTTAGATAGCCCTCGTGTAGCTTTGCGCGAAAAAAGAAACCAAACTATGATGAAACTAAGTTGAAATGATGGCAACTGCCTGTTGTAGAAAGACAAGTGTAGTTGACTATGGTTTACACCGCCATCTACCGATATGTTTAAGAAAATGTAAAACATTTCTTTACAATGTATATCCATAAAATAAGAATATCATATTTGATAACACGATATTTCTACTGAATTGTTGTTGGGTCAGTTTCAAGTTATTAAACCTTATTGTGTTTCAAACCTTTAAATCTTGACAAAAGGCAAGCATTTAAACTGCTGATATGATAAAGTTAAATACCAATATTATAAATTGGTAGATTTCTGTTGAACATTTGAAATCAAAATGGCTTGAATCCAAGAATTATTTGGCCAAAATGCATAGGTCAAATCAAGCAATTAACATAAAGATAATGAATGTATTATTAGTAGGTCCATATTTAATTTATGATCTGTTTTGTATGGATAATGAATAATATTTAGTAAGTGTTAAGTAAATTTAAATTACTATCGTATTAGTAGTCTTTCTGGACGAGCGTGGTCTAGTGATTAATGTGCCAGATTATGGATTTGTGGCACAAATATTCTTGTCCTGTTACTTAAAAAAAATGTCTGCACACTTTGGAGCCAATATTGTGTGATAAAGATGACAGTCAAAACCAACTATTCGGTCACACAATGAGTTGGCGGTAGGCGATGTGGACTAACAGCCTATTCTATAGTCTAAGTTCACAAATATGGCAGGTTATTTGCATATAAAGAGTATCTTTTTTTGCGTTAAAATTCCGAACAAGACAAAAAAAAAATGTAGTCCTCTTTTGTACATAAATTACTGAATTTAATTCCAAATATTCTTCAGGTTTCTCAACGAACGTTTACTTAAATAAAATTTTGCATGTTTTGTAACTTTTAATACTTAGAAAACTACAGACCTCTATTGAGTAGGTTTTTGCAAATATTCAAAGCAAATAAAGCAATTTTTCTTTAACTTAGGGATTATCACGAAAAGTCGATGTTCAATAAATTGGTTAGGTTTTTGATAAACACAAAACTACACAATGAGTTATCTGTGCTCTGCTCATAGCAGGTATGGAGACGGGTCTTTAACGTATTAGTCTGCAGACATACTGATGAACCACATGGGGACTTGTTTATTTGAAGTTAAGCACAAAGCTACACAATGGGCTATCTGTGCTCTGCCCACCACAGGTATCGAAACCTGGTTTCTAGCGTTGTAAGTCCGGGGGGGGGGCACTAGGGGACTGTCCGATTAAAAGAACAAAGGATTTTTTAGTTTCCAAGGCAAATCCACACCTCACACACAAAAAAAACCAAAAAACGAGAATTGTTTAAATGTCTAGTCTAAAAAATATATATTTTATTGTGTCTTTGTAAAAAAAAATACATGTACGATGTGCATGTTTTGAAAATTGGAAAAATTTTAATAGTTTTTATTTCTTTCTTATAAAATTAAAAAACTGACACAGTGTTTGGAAAATAATATTTTTCTATTATCGTACAAAATGTAAAAAAGTAGAAAAACTGATATATTGATGCAACTTGAGATTCTTTTGTTTCGTCAAAAGCTCTCAAATGAAACATACCATTTAGTTGAGGAGATCACGCATAAGGCACTGCTGAATGTTCAAATTTTGAACAATATTTGTTTTGAGCTCAGAAATTTTCAGAAAAATGTTAACAAATCATTAAACAGACATTTCCATAAACCAAATAAGACTTTAGGCAATATAACATATTCATGCAATGAGGCCATCTGTTGGTGTAAATTAGTAATAGTTAGTATTGATATTCGAAATCTTATCCTTTTTTAAAAGTAATTATTAAAATGAACGTAGTTTCCTTATGAAACATACTAGTAGAAATATATATACTTTACAGTAAATATAGCACGAATAAAGAATGCAATAATGATCTATAAAAATAAAAATAGTGACTGATTCACTCAGTTAATTCTCTATTATTAAGCACTAGAATGAAGCCAGCATTGTAGCTTCGGAATTCCAAGTAAATATGATTCATCCAAAACCATGGGGCAAGCGTGGCACAGTAATTGTTATGCCGGGCTGAGGATGCGGGATGAGTGGTCTATGACTCTTTTCCAGTTGCAAATAAATAAATAAAAGAGTCGTGCTCTGTTCCTTGGGACCGAGGGTACGTCATGAAAGTGATAATCAAATCCCATTATTCGACCAAAGTCGTCCAAGATTTGGCAGTGGATGCTGTTGATTAGCTTTTTTCCTTGCTGCTTATCAATTCAAAATCATGGACACTTAGCTCAGAGAGTTCTTATGTATATTTTCGCGAATACCCAAAACAAGGAACAACAACAATAAAAATCAGATAGTATGTCAGTAAATATAGACTTTGAATGTCTTTTTGTATCATTTTCTTTAAACATTAATTATTTTTGATTGATGGAAGAAGTCGATGGTAATTGTATATGTTTTACTTTAGATTCCAGGTAACCGCTTCCCTGGTTATCCCGGGTATACTTGAGCCATGTGGTCTTATAAATAATTATTATACCGACTTAACTCGGGTTGCTTGTACCCTGAAAGTTTTTTAACCGAGTACACTTGGGAGACTGAAATTCCGTTTTATACTAATCTTATATTTCACAACTGGATGGCAGCACAAATGAGTATTTTTGTAGCCTGCTTCTGATAAGAAAACGATATGTTAATAAGAAGAGAATCCTAAGTTTGATGTCATACCTTGCTTTGATACTACAAGAAGCATTTAGTTATATACTTGATATCTTTTTCTGACAGGTTGTCTTTTTTACTTATTTTCTATAGTTGTGTAATTGTTTCCTGGAGTTATAAGGTATTTCATGCAAATACACTTAGATATAGTGTAAATAATATATCTAGGATTATTTGCATGAAATGTCCTAGACGTATTATTTTCTTTACACTTTTCTTATAGTTATTATATTATATCTCGGAACATACTTAGGAAAAAAGGGTTAGGGAAGGAATCTAATAGACTGATATCTATCTTTCGTACGTATATCAAAAAGGTGATACCATATTTATTATTCAAAAACAATAAAATTTGGCGTCATAATTTTGGTACGTTGTTTAGAATGCGCTTGTG